TTGTCTACGCGTTTGTGTGGGAATATCTTGGCGCCATAACTAATTTGTTGATTGCACATAGGTTTACGAATCTCTCCCCATTTTCGTTCCTTTCTTCCAGTCAGTCCATGTCGTTTCAAGATCTCTTCATATCCGGTGTTGTCCATTCCGACTTTTGAGTTAAGGTCTCCCATCAGGGTGGTGAGATCTTTTCTTGAACATTTCGCTCTGATTGATTACAACCACTGATAGAATTGATCTCTTATTGTCGTCGTTGCTATCATTGGTGGGTTTATAACATTGGATATCATTCAATGTGATTCCCTACATCTTTTTTTGAAGGATGCTTCGATGACCCTGGATCCATAAAATTGCCATCAATCAATCCGCGATATTGAGCAACAGTCCATCAATGTCTTCAGTGAGTAACTGCTGCACAGAATATTGATTGAAGTTAGAAATTAACACCGTTGGATGCCGAGTCAGTATTCTAGAGGTTAAGCATATCCTCATTTATTACATCATGTAAAAAAAAATAATTCGTAAATTGATATACAGGATTAATTTCCTTGAGGAAAAATATACTGAGCACAGTAAATTTGTTTTAGGTCAGACAGGCCGATCGATAATTTCATCCAAATTAGTAATAGAATATTCCGCCCAGATTTTTAAAAAAGCACAAAACATTCATGAGGAAATATATAATTATGGAAATACTATTACTATACTGAGCATTTATAAATGCAGAGTTAGAGTGTACAATCTTATGAATGAATAAGCGAACAATATGTGTATTCGAAAACTATTCACAATGATCTATAGGTGATATAAGTATCAGACAAAGCTCATTAACGAACTGACTGAGTTAGAAGAATATATGCATTTATAAGCTTACTACGGCTTTCAATAAATCATTTTGACTATTTTGTTGAAACACAACAACACTTGTGTAGGCGATCACAAGCAATCTTATGAAGGCAGTTTTCAACGAAAAGGCTCCTGACATTAACAGATTAGGGGGAATATCATCACGGACATTGCAATATCTGAATAAATAATTTCCAAATTTTTTTTATTCAACTTAAGATCAGGGAAAGTCTCCATTTATCTTGGAATTATCACTAGACAATTTTATAATAGCATTTTTTTTTGAATTTTATTTATTTTATTCAACAAATGAGAGTTAATGATGTTTACATCTTTGAAAATCGTTTACCTACTTACCGTTCTATAATCTTTCTGCAAAATTCCTGTCATTACTAAAGTAAATATAAAATTATGTCACAATACAACACTATATGTCAAATATATAAGAATTTACTTTGAAAACTGAACACGATTATCCTTTAATTACTAAATAAAAAATCAGTAAATGTTTAAAATACTTATTTGAGAATTCGCTTGTAAATAAACAAAACTATGAAAGTAAAGTTAGTTAGCTGACCCATGTGGAATTCAAATATCACTACGCATAAAAATAGTAATCCATGAGTACATGAAACTTTTCATCCGTGATAAAATGTAAAGATTAGTTAGAAGCTCTATTTCAGATCAATAACAAAAGGATTAGACTAAAAAAGATAAAATTTATCACACAAGACAGGTGATTAAATCCACTACTGAAGTCGTGAACTTGATGAGCGACATTATAATTACGCTTAGACTTGAATGAGGGAACACTATTAAGGGAAAATATAATAAGACCATATTATTAACCGAAAACAAATGAATTGATGTAAGATATAGATTCAACTAACAAATGACTAGTCACGAATTAAAGTAAAGTCAAGTGAAAACACCATCATTTTTACAGCTAAACATTCACTTAGAGTTAATTCACTTCACTGATGAATGAAAAATGAAATTTTTTAAATAGCTGTAAATCTTTCTGAAGAAGCTTGAAATGAACTCATGAACGAAAAGTTGATTATTTTCAAGTTAAATTGCTAAAAATATTACTAGTACAATCATAAAATGTGTTTCTTTAAATATGAACAAAATTTCTTATAAAAATGTGATCTTGTACCGAAATAATCTTCATAAAGATCATTCGTTCAAGAATGTCCATCTACATTAGTATCATCAATAAAGTAAATTTTCTGCATTACAACAAAACTGAAGACGATTCAAAACAGTTTCAGTTAACCTGATAAACAGATTTATATTTTAAAACTGTCCATTCTCAGAGTCGACAAACTTGAGTAGACAATATATTATCAGCTAGATTTCATGCTGACTCAACCTTTAAATAATGAGAAATATCGTTTAAAAAAGAGATGTATATAATTTACGAATATCCTACAATTCGTACCTAGAACAATATACGAAATAGTGAAATTTCACACGCATAATGGAGGGATTAAATGATACGATATCGGACACAATTATGAGTAAAGCTCATGAGAAAGTATGAGAAGTAATTGAAAAGATGGGTAGATTTTCAAGTGTAAAATCAGTAAAAGAAATGCATAACAACGAAAAAATCAAAGGGTATGGATAAAAACATAGATATCATACACTTCTTATACATACGAAATTCAGGTTTCATCTCGTGGATAGGTTGAGCTTAGATTAAACATATAAGTGAGAAGTCGATTTAATGTTCAAGAAAAGAACTATTAAACACCTTTCTTTCCCCTCTTGTAAAACCACTTCAGAATATATTGTCTTAATCGCCTACAGTGGAGATAATTCTTAAATGCCAATTCTGTGTTAAACTGTTCGACAGCAGGATCATATACCATATTGCTTTCCAACATATTTGTTTATATTCTAACAATTTTTTTGTCAGCCAATAACATTTGATATTGAATAACTCATGCACATTGTGAGTCAGTTTAGTTTAGCCTGAGGTAAATATGTTTAGTTACGGAAATAACTAGTATCTATCTAAGTTTGTTCCTGACATGAGTCAATTATATATTCCTCATTATGAGCATTGGAAATTTGTTCGTGTTCATAAAACAAAAGCAAATAATCCTCAATCTGTTAACATGTGAATATGGTCAGGACAGTTAGAATAGTCTGTATTAGAACTGTTAATGACTGATGCATCGAAATGCTTTTTTCCAAACTAAAATGTTTTTGATGAAGAATTCTAAATTTATTTGTTACATCCTCTTTAGAATCAATACTCTGAATAACACATAGTCTATAATGCAGAGGAATTATACGTTGAACGAAGCATGAAATATAAATTAATCTTATGACTATCAGTGAGACTGTATTTATATGTTTCTATCCTCGAAATATTTCTTTTTCATATTCATTGTAAGTTCAAGTCATTGCCTTACGCTAACTTCATATAAAAGCTTAGAACTCAAATTACATCGAAATGATCAAACAGTACGTATAAGAATTAGAGTAAACATGTATTCACTTGCTACTCAAACAACTAAATACATTGTAAGGGAATTTCAAATACTTATTAAAAAAGATTATGTCAAAAACGCAAATACTTTATATTTAAACGAATAAAATAGGGGTACATTCTTCGTGGCAGCAAGTGAGGAATAAACTATGCGCAAGAATTTATGGAAAGAAAAAATGTTTGAAAAAACTTAAATGTGGTGTTGATTTCACATAACCTCGCACAAAATGGAAAAAATTAATTCAAATCAATACACGAGGTGACCATTAAAAATAATTCCATATCTAATTACGCAATAAAACATGTAACTCTTCTGAAAACACACCTAGTTTACAAAATTCAGCAGTTTTACATCAGTTGTTCAGTTTCAAACGATTGAGATGTTTTCGAAGTTGTAGTAAACAGCTAGTCACTTATTCATATCTAGGAACAATTTAAATCCTTTTATGGAACAGATAAATCCTAGCCAGAAGTAGAACTTAGTTCCCCTCATTCAAGACTCATCAGACGGATGCATCTGAATTTCAGTGTCCACGTTCAAATTGGGACCAGATCCAAATATTTTCCGCTTCAAACTCCAACGCGCTTTCTACTCAGTTACTGAGTACAGTTAACCACTAACTTGTTCACCTGGTATAATATTTAGATCATTATTAATATTGGTTCGAATCACCCTAATTTTGATGTTCAGGACTAAATTTCGACCAGTCTTTGTTAGCATATATGCATCCAGTACTGATTACCTCAAAATGGCCACTTTATCACAAATTTCATAGAATAGATGGCTTACTGTGAGGAGTGAAGTTTAGGACGAGTGTTTTGTTCTGTCAGATGTAATTGAATCCTAGTGTTGACGTTCAAATAAAATAGTATGAGAAAAAGTAAAATAAAAACGTAATTTTGTTCTTTCTTGTTTTTGTGATAGGTTAATAAATTTATTCTATATTTATCTGTTTGTGTTTTCAACAAAAGCACTGTTGATAAAGTGAGAACATTAAATGCATATATTTAACACAATTAACTTCTCATTAGTGATCAGAAAATTATACTGTAAACAATTTTGAAAGGGATCCTAAAAACAAAGTAAATATTTGTACATCTGAGTTGAAAGTAAATATTGAGGTTCTGAAATATGAATGATGATCAAGATTCCTGATTACTGAAATGCTTTCGTATTAATAGAATGTTAGCAAACGGTAAATTGGAACATTTTTCCAAAAAGGATCACGTTAAAGAGAAAGGTTTCAGTTGTTTTTTTGTTGTTTTTTTACATCTACATAGTTTAGAACTGTAACTGGCTAAAGCTTCTGTAATCTTAAATAGACTTTAAATGAAAAGCTCACGGAATCGTGCTTCTCTGTATATTTCCCCCAATAAATCGTAGTTGTTATCCATTTACTAAGTAGGTCAGTTTCAGAATAATTGATTAAAAGGTTACTAAACATATAAGACAAAACAGTACTAAAACCCAGAAAATCGGATTTGAAAACTTCGATTAATTATTTCTGACTACATTATTAAATTTAATATGCATAAAGCTATACAAAACTATATAAAAAGTGAAATTAGACTAACAATGAACGCAAATTTAAGAGCGAACCTCCAAGCTATAACTCGCTAAGACAACGTGGATATAATACAAAACACTAACCTCTAGATCCCAGTTATAATTTTGAAGATACATCATTCCAAGTGCTCGGTCAGTGGAGGTGATTTCAGCAAATGAAATACATTTCTCTAGAAAAACATCGTTATCATTTGAGTTTTCTTCTATATCCATTGATACGATATTACTGGACTGTTGATTTTTTGCCATTGCTGACGACCTACATTATAATAATAAAGTATGTAAATAAATAATTTAAAAACCAATTTCCATTTTGTTAGTTTGATAAAAACAAGCTATATTCTTCTGGGGATAAGCAAAGAGCTGGTAAAGAACTGTTTTCTTCTACTTAATGATGTCAGATGAGTACAAAACAACTTATTGGTGTGAAACTATGAAACTAAGTGAAGATTATGGGTATCGATGCAAAGATTGGATTGGGATATAACAAGAAATATGTATACTATATGTGATGAATCATGAAATTGAACTTATTAGCGAAAATTATATTCTCGGAATCGAATGATGATCATACAGAGAAACGAGCATCCGTGCACCCATAAGTGACTTTTTGGCCAAATATTTTCAAGCGGCAATCGCTTTTGGACAATAATGGATAACGAAGCCTAAAGTTTCTATTCCGATACTCTGTTAAAAAAAACGTATGCAAGTAAGATAAGCCCACAATTCATAATACGTTTCAGTTCACATGGATGTGTAGGTATGGACGATTATTAGTCGGATTGTGAATTTTATTTATTCTATTTTGAACGTTTAACCGATAGTTAACTAAACCATACGGTTATAAGTGAATATTTTGCATATACACGCTCGTTTTGTTTACTCAAAACTATACAATAAGACAGTTGGACAGTGACTAAACCTTCTTGAATCTGTTTTCTTTAGGATCTTCTAATTTTATCGATGAACTGAAGACATAACACCACGTTTCAAACAGAAAAGCGGAACTTGCTTATGTTACAAATTAATAATCATATACAGTAAATGATCATATTATCAAACTGGTGTGATTAGCATACAAACTAGAAATAACAGTTGTGAACAACAACAATCGTATGATTGATTTAAGTTTCTATGTATATAGTGAATGTCTTGAAACTTGTGCAAATTGAACAAACAAATAACCATATTAATAGTGTAGTCCCACATATTTAAAAGTTTAGTTTACTTTAATAAGTGACCTTTATTCACGCTTTAATCGATGTGATTTTCAGTAGAATATGAGATAACAGAGCGGAAAACCAGTTTATTAAACGTTTGCTAAAAAGGAGTGCCAAATTGTTGTTCAGATGGATAAACGAAGTTATGAGTCGATTCGGTGACTGCTATTACAAATTCAGTTTGTCCTAGAATACCTCGCGAAAACAATACTTACTGGACCAAAAGACTAAGGAATATGGTTATTGTATAATATTTAACTTATGGACATGAATTCATGAAACTCCTCTTGTCAGTAGTGTATTTTAATTATAAAATATCGTTTCAAACAAAAACATATTAATGTAAATCACTGATTACGGTACATAAGAATTAATGATTATTTAAAGTTTACAATTTATGCCAAGAATTAAATTTTAGCAAAATAGATGAACGATAAATCGCTTTACAACGAAGGAACAGAAGTGACATTTTTAATTGATAGCCTAAGTATCATAAACCAATGGTCGATCTTGTTCTTCACAAGCTGACGAAGACAAAATGTACTGTAATAGAAACGAAAACAAGTTACATACATACGACGGGTTTTATTTGCTGGATATGAAGTATATCGTGGAGCAGCATGTATTCACGAATAAACAAGATTGTATGGCTGATGTAAATGAAGAAGAACGAAAATCTTAAGTTGTGATTAGATTTATAAACTAAACACTAAAATTAAAGCTTAGCCTGTTGTAAGTCACACAAAATAACAGAAAGTAAAAAATCCTTTAATTATACACTTCAAACGCAAATGTAATAAGAGAATTTCACCGGAAGTAAGAAAATCAAAAATCCTTTATTTAAGGATTATTTTATTGAAAATTAAATTTTTGACGCAATAACTCAGAAAAACATTGTTCCGTACAGTGCTACAACACAGAGCTATTCACTTAACTTCATCAACTTAGTATCAATAACAAAGTTTGCTTACGCATGTTTAATTAACCTAATTATTAGTCAGTCCAGTTGTTGGACCTATTCTCTTCAATTAAGCTAACCGTGGACTAGGACAGAGCAATCATGTGTGATGAAAAGTGATTAATTACGTTCTTCTAAGATAAACAGTAGTCAAGGGAAATGTGCAATGATAGCAGAGAAACTGAACAGAGCTTAGTAATTGAGTCGCGTAAATTTAACGATAAAGCATGAGTGTTAGCCTGATAGTCAAGGTTTTTTATGTATCACAGCTAAAGTTTTTATGCAGCCCCAGCAATAAAGATCAAGTAAATTAATCTTCAGTTTTCCAATACAATATTCCCTGAAGATAATGCCTAGACTTATGTAAACTGGTTATCATATGACAAATCTAGAACACCAACACGCTAAACTGAACATTTTTTTATTCACATTATCTTCAAATCATAGAATCCTTTCATTTAGTGATTGTTCGACTGTTTGTAATTACAAAAACAGGAAAGACAAGAACAAACATTCGTGTGTATCAAGTATTTACAATCCCAATCTTTTACAGAAGGTCCAATGGCACCAATGCTTACAGAATATAGCAAGATTTTGAGTCAGATATGCAAAACAGTCCGTTCTACGTGCACATATTTCAACTGATAATTACTAGCAAAGAAAATGAATTCATCTAGGAGTATATGTAGCTATTTACTAAATTCCTTAACAAATAAACTGTGCACTAATTTATTACAATCGATCAAAAGCACATACTATAAGTGTAATACATTTTATAATTAATTCGATGGAATTAACTTTAAATTCCTGACAACAGTTGGTTCATTTTCCAAACTACACAAATGTACATGTCAGTGTTTAATAAGAAATATGACATATCAGAGTAGCCACTAAGGCATACCTAAATTTTCTGAAGACCGATTACTTACAATATCTTTAAAAGAATTGACCATTTCCCTAACAGATTTGACAGAACATTTAATTGGTATGCCATCTATTCAAAAACTATCTCGGTATTACATGATAAATATACCGGAATTATCATGAATATTAATCTATATGATAAGGAAACGAAAAGTGGTTCTCATTGTAAAACTACGATATCATCCTATCCCAGAGGCCGATGGACTGGAATGCGGACTTGGGAAGTAAGGAGACAGCTGAGAAGCCCTGAAATAAAAACCTATTCAAGAGACTCGGAAAAAATGTAGAAGCAAATTGAGAGGAATGACAGTTCGTTCGAACAGCTTTTGTCCCTTCAACACCATAGTGAAGACATCTAATTATTGCCTTTCGTTGTGCCGATGACTCCAACGATAGTAGTTTTGAGAATCTATAACATGGTTGATCATAACCACCAAGTTCTCCTGGCTCTTTAGTATCTCCTAAAAAGGTAACTACAGAACAAACAACTACACCAGCCAGTTCAATACTAGGAGAATCAGAAACTAATGTGGAGACGTTTTGGCAATGTTGTTTGGATAAAGTTAAACGACGGCCACTTCGTCTGAAAGATTTAGACGTTACTGATCTTGAAGCCGAAGAACAAGAGGGTGGTAAAGAATCACGTAGATTGCTAGGTCCTGGACCGCCACCACCACCATCACCACCTGGAGGGTCTGATGGCCTACCTCCACCTCCAACTGCTTCAGCTGAATCTATGGATGATGTGAAAGGCAAAGCTATCGTTGTACCTGATAGTCCAATTGCTGGATCATTAAAGAATAAAATAGAAGCACTTAGTCGTGCATCACAAAAACAATCTGAACATTCTACACCGATTAGTCCACCATCAGTTACATTATCTAATACAACTGGAACAGTGCATTTATTGAAAGAAAAACATTCATCATTTGAAAATGCTGAGGAACCGGTAAAACCTCAGCTACCACGTGAACGTACTGGTAAAATTTTGTCGGTCAAAGATCGTTTTGAATCAGGGATATCAACAGTTCTGTTCCGAAATGCTCTGTTCACGATAGAATGAACACCTAAGAAATAATTCAGTTTCTATGTATCTCATAAAATATTACGTTATTTTCATAATGTGAAGTTGTACGGCAAAAAGTGATATAATTTTATTTCCTTGGATTTCAATCACGTTCTAAAATTGGTTACTTGACATGGTTGGAATGGTTTCGTGGATAAATTTTATAAATAATAAATATTGGGTTGGGGGTACAACTATCTACGATGTAACAGATAAAACAAAGGTAAAGTATCTATTGTCCCTCGACAAATGTTTAAAATGAAAATGGGCTCAGTTTCTAGAAAACAGATGAATGCAGTTGCAATAATATGGATGACTTCACGTCACATAAAAAATTGGCTACATTCATCACGTGTATTTGCAGGCTGTATTGCTGGAAATGAATGATTTTGTTGCGTGAATATTCTAAAAATAAAACCGAAGTGTTTTCATTAGTTTGAGAATTCTTATCTACACTTTCAAATAATTAAAACTCAACATACGTGTAAACAGGCAGTATTTTGATGTCTCACAAGTATTAGTTATTTAGTGAGTTTGTACTTCAATGACTACAGTGGAAACAATACCATTGAATTATGCCCGATGTACAAAAATAAAAATAGATCACAGTCACACATCTACAGACACATGCATGCCAAGCACAGATTTGGTGGGACAAAGTTCAACTGGTAAATCACTTCCATAGGAGGTACAAAGAAATTACCAAGTGCATCGTATCACATGATAAATAATCAAAGTCCAAAGCAATGGTAGATAAAAATCAAACGACTTGTGTATAGTTTATTATTGTTGATAAAAAACAGTTCACCAGTAAACACAAAACTGTCATAAGGCAGGAATTTTGCATAAAATCACGAATATATATATATATATATATATATATATATATATATATATATAATTTACACACATACATAAGACAAGAATGTGTTTGGACGGATGTACGATTGATGAGACCATAAAAAAGTGAATTTCGAAATTCATAACACTCATAAATAATTACAAACGCCAAATAAAAATCTTGCTGAGTAAACGATATATAAAACGTGAACATAAAAGGAAGGTGAACACCAGTCATTGATTTGCATACATAAAAGGTAACTTATGTAGAAATAAACAGAATGTAAGTAAATACAAGAGAAGATATCGAATAAAAATGAACAAATTTTAATAGTTTTCAACAAGAATAGAAACTACGTGTTTATTTTCTTGTGGTAATGTTTTTAAAGGACACATAAATAAAGTCACACAATGCGTTGTATTGATTTAATCAACTATGAACAAAGTCCTGTTTGTAATTCCTGAAGTTTTACTCAATTGTATTTAGCAATATGAGAAATTAATAAGAATAAAGTGAAAAAATGTTTACTTATACGGTAGAATTGAAATTGTATTACAAAATATTACATTGATATCATGTTTTTAAAATGTTAGCAATACAAGCCAACAAGGAGAGTGTAATTTAGTACAGGTATTGAAAAACTTTGCAGAAAAACATATTTTATTACAAATTTACACAATGGACTTCAAATTATAATTTTGGAAAACTAAAATATAAATATATAAATCTGTATTTTAGCAGACAGAGAACATTTTTACAGACTTATTTGAAGATATTTAAAACGAAATAAGACGAAGAAGACACAAAAAACGATCGTTCATCATCTTTTATTTTGCATGGAACCAGAAATTGCATCAATGAAAAAAAATTAGCAAAATACGGGAAAACGATGTTCGTGTTGAATAATTTACATACCACGTTCAGAATAACGCCCACGAAAGTTAATACTTTGATCATCTCTGAGCGGACTGTTGCTTAGGTGGACATTATCTCTCAATTTTTCAGAATAATTATTAGTTTCAATTGGTGGGATTTCTGTAACATCAATGCACTCAAAATGACTGGGCAAGATTTCAGTTTTTTTATTTGAGATAGTTGTAATGTTTGGACAGCTCGTAGCATCCAAAGAATTAACTACAGGGACACAATGTGTTGATTTTAAATCATTAAGATCACTTTCTGATGTAGAAGTTGAGTCGATTAATGAACGACGATGACGACCAAAAACTTTGTTGCTTTCTGCATCAAAATGAGCATAACAATTAGCTACATCCGGCAGGTGATATAAAAGGCCTTTATATAAGTACTCTATTTTTTTAAAATGAAATGTAGAACAAGATACACTATGAAATGGTTTATACATGAAAGTTGATAAGAAAAATAAATATCAAGGAATATTCAAATAAACAACAGCATTCGCTAAGTTGCATACGAATATGTAGATTGGAAACGTCATTGAAAAACGTACATAATTAAACCAGTCGCATTCTAAAGTCAGGTGGTAATTTCAAATGAAAAACGAAACACATCGTTTTACTGTCTTTTTGTAAGTGAAATACAATGATCTCGCAGCTTTGAGAAATACATGACTGATCGGTCCGATATATCTTATAGAATAACGTAAACAATAAATTATACAAAAGTATCTCAGAAATAGTCGGATGTTCGGTCTACAAGGTATTTCTACATAGATATATAATGTATTTAGAATGAGCAAAACTATCGAATATAATTCTAATATGGGATTGAAAGAGACCGTACATTATTTGATAGAACTAAGGATATCATAGACGAATAACGTAAGTTTCTCGCCGTCTTCATGATGAAATACTTAACAACAATATTCTCAAAGTACGAACTGTACCAACACGTAGTCATGTAAAAAAACGACCATCGAGATAAATAGATATTCATTTAATAATCACTAAAATATGTTTAGAGATGACTATACAGATTTAACCAGAAGTAGGAGTAAAGAGGATACTTCAATAAGAGTCGAAATTCATATGACCTTGTTAAATCTTAGGATTAGGAAAAAATTTGTCAACTGACGTAAGTTTACTGAAGTTATTAGTGGTTCACTTCAGATTCTGACGGTACTCATTACCATACCTTGAATTAACTTTTTTTGCATTTACAAGAGATCAGAAACTTATGAAAGCAGATGTTAAATAAAATAGTGCTGGATATACATTTCGAAGTGATCTACGAAAATTACATGATAGAACGAATTCGGTTTAGAAATATACGTTTTAGTGATCTCCAGATAATGAGTCCCCATTTACTCAATTTCGATTCAAATCTAAATCAATTAAATAGATTTTGTAATTTCAACATTATTCACAGTCACTAGTTGATAATTACAAATCATAAGATAAGAACTAGCAATTAGATAAGAAGCAACTATTAATTTATTTTAAAAAATTCAACAATAATGATTAGCGAACGATTTATACAGTCCACATGAAAAAAAGCTGCAGGTAGAAGAACCTAGTTTTATATTATAGAAGTAGTTTGAAAATTTAATATTGTCTGACACATAAGTGCATCGAATTAATACAGAGCAATTAGAAATACATAATGACAATTTCTTACCCCACTAATTCCACTGGATGAATTATCTGAATGAGTAGATTTATGTATCAGGTAAGCACGATCAAGTATAAGCTTAACTGTTTCGTCATTTTCTAAAGTGAACGCAAAACCCAGTAACTCTGCTGCATCAGAACGACTAATTTCCCAATCTTTCGCCATATTTACATCAGATTGTGAAGTACACATATTATATGCCTGGAACATTATAAGATAACGATGATAGATAGGTTTCCTGATTTTAGAAAATTTTACGATAAGAAGTTTAGTGATTTTCATGAAAGATTGGAAACGTCTTATTTAGTTGCGGATAAAAAAATATATATGGATAATTAGGAAAAAACTAACTTCAAAGTGTAATGAATACACTTATACTAAACATGTAAATAATAATAGTTTATGAAGTAAAGAAAATTACAACACGATCGTCGCTGGCTTCTATTCTGAGCCATATCTGATAACGTCTCTAGCCACTGTGTCGCGCCATCTCCAGGACCCCAAAATGTGAGTCGTGAAACACCAACAGAAGCCAGTCCTGTACAACAATTTCATACCACAAACACCATGTCATACACTGACCACCTCTCCGCTTTTTCCAACCAGTCCCAGCGTCAGCAAATAATGCACGACGAGGAATTCTCTGGGACGACATACATAAAATACATGTCTAAGCCACCGAAGTCGATGTTTCAAGATAGTGACACCAATTGGATTATCGTCTCTCCGTCTGAATACACGATGCCGAACCTCTGCATTACGAACATAGTGTTGCCGCTGGATGTCAGCAATCCTTCGGAGACAACGAAGACCAAACACGGAGTCGTCTAACATCCTCAACTCGGAGAGGCCAGGTTTCACAAGCATAGAGCAGAACTGCTCTCACCGACGCGTTGTAGATCCGACCTTTTACAGCCAGACTAACATCACGAAGGCGCCAAAGATGCCACAGAATCTAACGATTTATGGAGTCAAATGCTGCTTTTAAGTCAAGAAAGACCACAATTGTTGGACGCCGATAAGTATGCCTGTGTTCTAGAACCTGACGAATGGTGAATATGTGGTCGATGCAGCCACGACCGGGTTTGAAGCCAGCTTGGTTCTCTCATGTTTGCAGTTCACGTGTCTTAGTTAGGCGTCTGATAATTATCGAGGTTAGTATTTTAGATACCATATTAGTTAAACTAATCCCTCTATGGTTGTCACAGGATGATTTTGATCCTCCTTATATATTGGGACGATAAGTGATTGCGACTAGTTATCGCCTCTGCACCCGAACACACGATGCCGAACCTCTGCATTACGAACATAGTGTTGCCGCTGGATGTCAGCAATCCTTCGGAGACAACGAAGACCAAACACGGAGTCGTCTAACATCCTCAACTCGGAGAGGCCAGGTTTCACAAGCATAGAGCAGAACTGCTCTCACCGACGCGTTGTAGATCCGACCTTTTACAGCCAGACTAACATCACGAAGGCGCCAAAGATGGCCCAGATTGGCATAAGTCGCTCTGGCTTTCACTATACGTGCATTGGTCTCATCACTCACGCCACCACCAGCACTTAT